CCATATACTATTTCAGATAAGTGGCTGTCCACTCTCTTCTTGCAAACCTCCAGTGACGGAGCACCTACAACTTCTGGAGGCAAAGTCGTTCCACTGATTAATTGTTCTTACTAGTAGGAAAATTTTCCTTAGTTCTAGGTTGCTTCTCTCCTTGATTAGTTTGCATCCAATGCTTCTTGTTCTTCTTGTTCTTCATAACACTGACGTTTGGGTAATGTATTTTCTTTAGATATCTATTTGTTAAATTTCCTGGAAAATCTTTCCAAGGGCCGTAAGGAATGGCACTCTGAGTTTCTGAATGCTAAGAAAATGAAGATTTTCTTCATTTTTGTCAGTTCAGGCGCAGCTGGCAAGGAAAAATCAATCTGAAAAGGAGAGCAACAAGCTCTGGATTTTTTTCCTTGAGAAACCGATCAAGAAAGGATTTCCAGAGAAAAATCAACAAGAAAGAAAAAGAAAAAAAAACCCTCACAATTTAGTCCAAAATAATGCCACCAGATCAAAATTGTGTCCCTATTAGCAGTTTCTAGTTCAGAAATTTACGAGGACAATAAATTTCGAAAAATGAAAGGTTCACTCCGATGGAACAAGCATTTCCTCATTTTTCTAATGCTTGGGGTTTTTTTTATTTCATAAAACACTTCCTACAATTTCTGGCACACTTTTAACACCATTTTAGACAGCATTAGTATCTTGGCTGCTGGGTATATTTATTTGGGATGTTTTTATTGTTTTTAAAATGTTGTTAGGATTGGGTTAGGGTTGTAATATACGTTGTAATATATTTTTCAAATGGTAAATCGCCAGAGTTTAATATTTAAAATTTATTCAATAGAAATTGAAGATAGATAGATAGATAGATAGATAGATAGATAGATAGATAGATAGATAGATAGATAGACAGACAGACAGACAGACAGAAAGACAGACAGACATTTAAAAACTGAAATATTTTGTCATAGTTTTTTGTCATTTTTTCAATCGGAGGAAAAAATGAAATAGTATTGGGGAAGATCACATTTTCTTTATTTCTCTTTATTCTCATTTTCTCTCTCTCCCTCTCCTTGTGTGTGTGTATGTGTGTGTGTAATATACACCCACATATATGCATAATACAGTAGCCTGTTCCGTTCCATGATCGCTTGTGACAGCTGTCGATCACAATTTTTCTACTTCCAAAATTTGTTCTCTTTCATCCCCAAACTAGAAAGAGAAGGGAGCTCTACTGGGCTCAGCAGGGCTGCTAAAAAAGGAACCAGGACGGCGACGTGAAACCACGAATGCTGGCTTGACATCTTTGGCGAAAAGGCAGGATATAAAAAGATAGATAAATAATAACCAAGTCCAGTAGAATCGGGTGAAGTTGGATAACTATTGTAGTCTTTGCCAAAAAACCCCATAAAACTGATGTTTTGCATTCTGTTTTAAATTCAGAAACGGATAGGGATGAAATTTTGGAGCAACGTGATTCCCCTCTCTTTCATTTACCCCTCTCGCCTTGGACAACTTGGATGCTGTCTTCCTAACTGAAAGCCACACAGAAATTAAATTCATGCAAAATACACAACCAGATCACTGAAGACTGAACAACAAGATGTTCCACGTCAGGAGTCCCCAACCCCGGTTCGTGGACCGGTACCGGGCCACGGCATGCCAGCAAGCGGTCCATAGAAACAAGCAAAGCCCCCTCCGTGGGATGCAGGCAGCACACAAAACCACGCACTCTCCGGTACGTGGAAAAACCTTTCTCCGTGGAACCGGTCCCTGGTGTCCAAAAAATTGGGGATTTCTGCTCCACTTGGTTTCTGCAAACCTGAATTAATTGGTCTGCAGGCATGTGGTTGCTATACACAAAGGTTTCTTTAAAGTACAATTTTTGCAGAAATGCAGAAAATGGACTCATTGGATAAGTCCAGGACATGGGATGGATAGACCCCCAAATCTGCCTTTTGTCCAGATACCCAGTTCTATATAAAATGGGGCGCAGGGCTAAGAAGAGAATTTGAGGAAGGAAATGTGAAAACTCAGAGTCCAGCAGATGTTCATATTTGTTTGGAAGGAAAACAAATCCATTTTCAGTAATATGTGTGCCCAAGAAGGATGGGTAAAATAAGTATTTACTAAAATAGCTAAATTCAAAGCAATTTTAATCAATTAAAGTTCGATTAAACTAATTTATTAAAAATAAATATAATAAATAATAAATAGAATAAGTTCTGGCACATAAGGGCCATCTCAAGATGACAGCTAGAGGCTAGAAGCCTTGACGTTGGGTGAACGCATTTATTAAGCTAACTAATTTCAAAGCAACTTTAATAAATTACAGTTTGATTAAACTAATTTCTTAAACATAAATTTAATAAAAAATAAATATAATTTTTTTTAAAAAAAAAATCACTTCTGGCACATAAGGGCCATCTCAAGATGATAGCTAGAAGTTAGAAGCCTTGATGTTGGCTGAACATATTTATTAAACTAATTTTAAAGCAATTAATAAGTAAAGTTCAATTAAATGGATGTATTAAAATAGATTTACATATTTAAAAATAGTAATTTCGGGCACATGAAGCACATCTTAAGAATGACAGCTAGACATGAGAAGCCTTGTTGTTTGTTAGAGAAATCACACACACACACACACACACACACACACACTCAAAATGTTAAACAAATTGGTATCTTTGAAGGCCAAAATAAACTCGGTATAACAGAGATAATCCAGCTTCCTTATGGAGAGGGCACCTACAAAGAGAGAGGTAGAAAACAGGAGGTCCCAGATGCTGTTTTAAAATCAGCTTCTGCCCCCACCATCTTCTACCACAAGCAAGCTTCACCTCCAGGAAGTGTTTCCCCCCCCCCCAGAAGAAAAAGCAACTGTGGACAGAAGCAGGAGTGGGGTCAGAAGGAATGAAGAACGCAGGAGGGGGCTGTCAGCCTTCAGCTTTCCACCCCACCACTTTGTAAGAACTGAATTCTCACTAAAATTGTCCTTGAGGTCAATTTCCTGAAGCTGCTCAAATAAGCATGTTTGGAAGAAGAATGAACAAGAATGAATCAGGAATGGGATGGAGAGTTTAGGGAACAGCAACCTATAAGGAGGAGTCTTTCTTTCTTTCATTCTTTCTTTCATTCTTTCTTTCTTTCCTTTTCTTTCCTCTCTCTCTGTCTCTTTGTCCCTCTCACACACACATCTATTTATCTATCATTATGTCTCACTTTCTCTCTGTATCTACCCTATTTCCCTCTATATATACTAACTCTTTCTACCTATATCTATTCTAACTCTCTTTACCTATCTCTGTCTCTGTTTATCTATCCTATTTATTTCTCAGTCTCTCTCATCTTATTATCTACCCTGTCTCTCTTTCTCTTTGTATCTATCTTGTTTCTGTCTGTCTGTCTGTCTGTCGTCTATCTGTCTATTCTACTTATCCTGTTTCTTTATCTATCATCTCTCTCTGTCATCTATCTATCTTATTTCTTTCTCTGTGTCTCTCTCTCTGTATCTATCCTATTTCTCTCTATCTCTCTATCCTATCTCTATTTATTCTTCATCTATCTCTCTCTCTATCTATCTATCTATCATCTATCATCTTCTATTTGTCTATCTAATTTTATCTAATTTTAAAACCACCCATCTCCCTCACAAAGGGACAATAAATTGTACAAAAAATGTAAATAAATTATATTAAAAACATAAAAAACAATACATAACATTTAAAAGAAGCAAGAACCTTAAAAATAGTGTTTAGCAAGAGCCCAAGAATAAAGGGGGGGGGGAATAAAGGGGGGAGCAGAGAGAACATCTGCACCATTAAACTATTTGAAGGGTCAGTCAAAAGCTGAGAAGTTACAAAGAGGTGCTGAAAACAAGCATTTATATTGCAAAGAGGGGAGTCCAACGATTACACAGTCACACACACACACACACACATACACACACACACACACCAAAATAGCAGATGGAAACCAGTTGGTCTCAGGATAGGGGGCTGCCCCCTCTTTTACTGCCTTGAGCCCCTAAGAAAGGAGAGCAAAGCAAATCTGTACACCCGCTGGGAATAACTGCAAGGCATTGACAAGTGAATACTGCAAAAAAAAAAAAAAAAAAGCATTAATTTAGCAGAAGTGCTCTCTTCTGGCACACTGCAACGGCAATTCCAAGGATCACAGGGTGGTCCCCTTTCTCACACCAGCCTATCATGTCGTAAGGTTGTTGTGCCAGGGATGAAACTCCAGGAGAAGTTCCCTTGTACGTTACTGGACTGATAAAACGTAAGTATGTGTCAGAAAGGATGACAAGCTTAATTCAACACAACATGCCTATTATCGATAAAAGAGGGAAAATATATAAAGTCTGCCTCTAAAAGTTCATGTTCAGTGAATTCAAGGAGATCTACCTGGGTGGGGCAAACCCCCCTTTCATATAAAGGGGGGGGGGAGACTTACACAAATCACAAACTCCCAAGGTATAATGGAATCTTCAAACTTCTTAAATTGTTCTTGTTTGCTTTCGGAAATCACAAGGCTGGCAGCTAAAGCTGAGAATCGTTTCCTAACCCTTAAATAATCTGAATAATTAAGGCGATCCGAAAAAGGGGGAAAGTAAATTTTCTCGGGGCGCCACGTGGGACGCAAGGCTGTCAGGGGAAGAGACCAGTCTAGCTTCAGTTGAGCACCCCCCCCCGCGTCTCCGTGGGGACCCACCCACGCGTTATTCCCCGAGATCTCCGAAGCCCCGTCCATTCCCACTTCGCGGGGTGCCTTCCCGAAGTTGGGTGAGTCCAGAAAAAAAAAAAAGGACCAGCATTCCACGCCGCAACTTTTCACGCAAGGCGGTGGGGATTGGGGGAGAGAAAACACAGACGCCGGAGCCAAACTTCGCCAAAGAGACTCGCCAGAAAGAAGCGCGCCGGCCAGTGCCAAGCCCGCAACCGTCCCGTCCCCGCGCGAGGGAGACGGAGGGGGGGAGCCCACGCGGGATCGCGGCGTGGACTGACCTGCTTGAACTGCTCCTCGTAGGTCCACTCATGGGGCGGCGGAGCAGGCGGCGGCGAGGCCAAGCCGGCGGGGGCCACCGGGCGTTGCGCATGGCAAGGCCGGGACCCCGCGGCGCCTTCCTCCTCTTCCTCCTCCTCTTCCTCCTCCTGGTCCTGACCTTCCTCCTCTTCCTCCTCCTCCTTCTGGCGGCGGGCGGGCGGCGGGGCGCGGGCCGGAGGGAGCCCCCCGCAGAAGGGGCGCAGCGGGGCCACGGGGGGCGCGGCGGGGACGCCGGGCTGAGCCGCTTGTGCCCGGCGCAGCTTCTCCTCCAGCCGCGCCGCCTGCGCCCGCTGCAGGTTCTCCATCACCGCCTCCAGCCGGAGCGCCCCGGCCCCGCGGCCCCCCGAGGGCGAGAAGGCGCCGGCAGCCTGGAAAGGGGGAGAGAAGCAAGGGGCGCTCAGAAGCGGCCGCGGGACCCCTCTACCCCCCCCCAAAAAAAGCTGGAGGGGAGGCGACGCAGCTGCCCCCTGCCCTGCTCCAGGGCCGGCCCAGCCAAGTTGCGAAGTTGCCCGCGGGGGCTTCTCACCCCGCCCCTGCCCCCTCCCCCGGCGTACCAGGGCGGCCTTGGCGGCCAGGCTGGCGTCCTCGCCCATGCCGCGGCTGGCGGGCTGGCTCCCCCGCGGCCGGCCGGCCACGCCCGGGGTCCCGGCGGGGGAGGTGGAGCGCAGCGCCCCGGCTGGAGGTCGCTGCTCCGAGCGCGCCTGGCCCTTCCGGCTCGCAGCCTTGTGGGCGAGCTGGGCGGCCGGGGGCTGCTTTTCCCCGGCCCGCCCTCGCCCGCGCCCCCCGCCTCCTCTCAGCAACAAGTGGCGGGCGGGCGAGACTGACCCTTCCTCTCCTCCTCCTCCTTCTGTTTCTCCTGCTCTCCTCCTCCCTTCTTCTTCCTCCTCCTCCTTCTGTTCCTCCTGCACTCCTCCCTTCTTCTTCCTCCTCCTCCTGTTCCTCCTGCTCTCCTCCTCCCTTCTTCTTCTTCTCCTCCTTCTCCTGTTCCTCCTGCACTCCTCCCTTCTTCTTCCTCTTCTTCCTCCTCCTTCTTCTTCCTCTTCTTCCTCCTCTTTCTGTTCCTCCTGCTCTCCTCCTTCTTCTTCTTCCTCTTCCTCTTCTTCCTCCTCCTCCTGTTCCTCCTGCTCTCCTCCTTCTTCTTCCTCCTCTTCCTCCTCCTCCTCCTTCTGTTCCTCCTGCACTCCTCCCTTCTTCTTCCTCTTCTCCTTCTGTTCCTCCTGCTCTCCTCCTTCTTCTTCCTCCTCCTCCTGTTCCTCCTGCTCTCCTCCTCCCTTCTTCTTCTTCCTCCACCTCCTCCTTCTCCTCCTCTTCTTTCTACTCCTCCTGTTCCTCCTGCTCTCCTCCTCTCTTCTTCCTCCTCCTCTTCCTCCTCCTTCTCCTCCTCCTCTTCTCGATCTATCGAAGGGCGACCCGGGAAGGTGTTTTTGTGTGTGACGAGCTGGGCGGGCGGGCGGACCTGCTGCCTGCCGGGCAAGATAGGTACTGTAGTCCTGCCCGAGGGCAAAGTCTTCCCCGCACCTTGGCGGTGGCCCCTCCGGCCAAGCTTCCCCGCGCCGCCGCCCCTGACTCAGCCCTGTCGCGCTCAACTCGCTCAAAAGACCCTGGCGGGGTCCCTCCCTCTCTCCCGGCTAGGGTTTGCGGAGAGGAGGGGGGGGGTTCCTTAGTTTCCAAAGTTAACAAGGATCAAACTTTTCCAGCGCTCGGGAAGGTCTCCTCGCTGCCTTGGAAGCGGCTCCCCGAAACGCTCCCGTCGTTTCGGAGGTCCCGGCGGGAGAAGTGGCAGCTGGAGGGCTGTGCGGAGGCGCGGTGGGTCCTGTCCTTGGGACCTGGGTGGGGGTCTCACCAAGGTTATCCCCCCCCCAGGGTTAGGACCCCTCCCACGCCGCGCTCCTTAAATTAGGAAGTGGGTGGGGGTCTGCAAGGAGGCGAGACAATGAAGAGGATTTGGCGGCGCGGAAAAAAAATCGCAGCTTTTTTGCAGCTTTTCTGGGGAGGGGGGAGATGGAGGGGTCGGAAGAGAATTTCGCTCGTTATTAAGCTTAGTATTACAGAGGGAGAATACCCTTGCGTTGGAGCCAAAAGGTTCCTGAAAACGCTCCAAACGAACAGGCATTGGATACTAGAAAAATCACAAAATACAAAATCTGATATTTATTTATTTATTTCTAAAATTTATATGCCGCCCAATCCCAAGGGACTCAGGGCGGCGTACAAAATTTAAAACAATAATATGACAATAAAACAATAAAATAAATACATTCATACAGCTTGTCTGATCATATCCCGCCCCCTCCCCACATCAGCCCCAGGCCTGCCGGAACAGGAGAGTTTTAATGGCTTTCTTAAAGGCCGGCAGGGTGGGAGTAGTTCGAATCTCGGGGGGGGGGGGGAGTTGATTCCACCAGGTCGGAGCCACCACAGAAAAGGCCCTTCCCCGAGGGCCCGCCAGCCGACATTGTCTGGCCGACGGGACCTGAAGGAGGCCCAATATGTGGGACCTCACTGGTCTCTGGGAACTGTGCAGCAGTATGCGGTCCTGTAAGTAACCTGGTCCTATGCCATGAAGGGCTTTAAAGGTTGTGTTTTCCTATGGAATAAATAGCTGTTGAAAATAGCCCAACAATTAGAAGGTGGATTCCCCCAACCTTCTGGAAAGGTCTTCCCAGAGGTTTTGGTAGCGATTTAATCTTTTTCAAAGGAACAAAATATCAATAATAACAGAATAACAGAGTTGGAAAGGGACCTTGGAGGTCTTCTAGTCCATCCTTCTGCTCAAGCAGAAGGCCTCCAGTGATGGAGCACCCACAACTTATGAAGACAGGCCCTTCCACTAGTTAATTAACAGAATAACAGAGTTGGAAGGGACCTTGGAAAGTCTTCTAGCCCATCCTTCTGCTCAAGCAGGAGACCCCTATATACCATTCCGGACAAATGGTTGTCCAATCTCTCCTTAAAAACCCACAATCACAATTGTCTCCAGCATTTCTGTTGCTGAGCAAGGCAGTCGTTAAGCAAGTCACTCCCAATTTTACGACCTCTTTTGCCATGGCGGTTAAGTAAATCAGTTAACGGTCGTTAAGTGAATGCAGCTTCTCTCACTGACTTATCAGAAGCCAATTGAAAAGGTCACAAACGGTGATCACATGACCCCAGGACACCGCAGCTATCCTAAACACATGCCAGTAACCAAGTGCCCCAATTGGATCGTGTCACCATTGGAGATGGTGTGATGTTCACAAGGGTCAGGGCTGGTTATAAGTCCCTTTTTTCAGAGACTCTGAGTGGTCACTGAATGAATAGTTGTAAGTTAAAGACTCCCTGTTATTAGAACCTACAAAATTATCATTTTTATTTGAAGGGCAGGAAATAAAATGGCCAGAGCAAAATATGAACGATTCAGCTACTCCCAAATTTAGTAGAATAGAATGTAGAATAGAATAGAGCTGGAAGGGACCTTAGAGGTCTTCTAGTCCAGCCCCATGCTCAAGCAGGAGAACCTATACTATTTCAGACAAGTGACTGTCTAGTCTTTTCTTAAAAATCTCCAGTGACGGAGCACCCACGATTTCTGGAGGCAAGCTGTTCCACTGGTTAATGGTTCTCACTGTTAGGAAGTTTCTCCTTTGCTTCTTTCGTTTATTACTTTCCAACTGTTGTTCCTCGTCCTTCCCTCTGCTGCTTTGGAGAATAACGTGACCCCCTCTTCTTTGTGGCAGCCCCTCAAATATTGGAACACTGCTGTCATGTTACCCCTGTTTCTTCTTTTCTTTAGACTAGCCAAACCCAAGTCCTACAGCCATTCTTCATATGTTTTAGTCTCCAGGCCAGGAGTCTTCAAACTTGGCCCTTTTATGACTTGTAGACTTCAACTCCCAGAATTCCTCAGCCACTGTGCCTGGCTGAGGAATTCTGGGAGTTGAAGTCCACAAGTCATAAAAGGGCCAAATTTGAAGACCCCTGCTCCAGGCCTTGGATCATCTTAGTTGCTCTGTTCTGAACTTTTTCCAAAGTCTCAACATCTTTTTTGTAGCACGGTGACCAAAATTGGTTGCAGTACTCCAAGTGTGGCCTTACTAAGGCCCCACGCCTCCAAAAGGGAGAGGGAGGGTGTAGCCCTTCCTCTCCAAAATTGGGGGAGAAAATTCACCACCACCCCCAAAGCTCAGGAGAGTAGGTCAACGACTTGCATCAATCTTGGTTCTATCCTGGCTTAGTTATAATATTTCTAACACTTAAACAATCACGATGGGGTTTGTTTGTTTAACGCAGTGGTTCTCAACCTGTGGGTCGGGACCCCATTTGGGGTCGAACGACCATTTCACAGGGGTCGCCAAACAAGGCTGTCCGCCATTTTTCCCCCCTTTTCTTTGGCCACGCCCCTGGCAGCCGGTGATGTATAAGTGGTTGGGGGTCACCACAACATGGGGAACTGTATTATGGGGTCACGGCATTAGAAAGGTTGAGAACCACTGGTTTAACGTATGCAGTTGCCCATCTCACATAAACTTGACTTTGGGTGGCTTACAAGAAAACGGATAAAACCAAAGAAAATATTGTTTGGTCTGGCGCGGAAGGCGCCAAGCAGAAACCAAGAGGTTCTGAGTTCTAGTTCCGCCGACTGGGTGACTTTGAGCCAGTCATTCTCTCTCAGCCCAACCCACCTCACAGAGTACTTGTTGCTCCTGCTTTCTTTTTAAGAGCACGCAGTCCTCAACGTACGACCACAACTGAGCCCAAAATTTCCATTGTTAAGTGAGACATTTGTTAAGTGAGCTTTGCCCCCATTTTATGATTTTCTTGCCACAGTTGTGAAGTCAGTCACTGCAGTGGATAAGTTAGCAACTTGGTTGTTGAGTGAATCTGGCTTCCCTCACATGATCTTGGGGACAAAGCAATGGTCATAAGTATGAAACAGTCGCCAAGCATCTAAATTTTGATCTCGTGGTCATGGGGATGCTACAAAGGTAGTAACTATGAAAAACGGTCAGAAGTCCTTTTTTTTCAGTGCCATTATAACACTGAATGGTCATAAACAACAACAACAACAACAACAACAATAATAATATAGTTAGAAGGGACCTTGGAGGTCATCTAGTCCAACCCCCTGCTCAGGCAGGAAACCCTATACCATTTTGGACAAATGGCTGTCCAGTCTCTTCTTAAAAACTTGCAGTGTTGGAGCATTCACCGCTTCTGGAGGCAGGTCGTTCTACTGGTTAATTGTTCTAACTGTCAGGAAGTTTCTCCTTAGTTCTAGGTTGCTTCTCTCCTAGATTAGTTTCCAGCTGTTGCTTCTTCTCCTGCCTTCAGGTGCTTTGGAGAAGAACTTGACTCCCTCTTCTTTGGGGCAGCCCCTGAGATATTGGAACTCTGCTATCATGTCCCCCCTAGTCCTTCTTTTCATTAGACTAGATATGCCCAATTCCTGCAACCGGTCTTCAAATGTTTATCCTTCAGTCCCCTGATCACTTTTGTTGCTCTTCTCTGTACTCTTTCCAGAGTCTCAACGTCTTTTTTTACATTGTGGTGACCAAAACTGGATGTGGTATTCCAAGTGTGGCCTTACCAAGGCATTATAAAGTGGTATTAACCC